GTGTCTCAGTGTTTGCCTTCACTGACAATGCAGTACTCCTACAGAGGATTTTAAGGACAAAATAAACTTCTCCATAGTTTAGAAAGAGAGGCTAGCTCCAATTTGGCTTACACTGTAAATACTCACATATTCTTAGGGCTCATCACGTCAACCCAGGGAAATGGGAACAAAGGAGCTGCTTCATGTGGAACTTTCTTGTTCCTCACTCACCTGGAATGGTTCTGTTTAGAGAAACATCTTCTTCATTGTTCAAGCCACTTAACCGTTTAGAGGCACGAGTGGATGTTACCGCATGGGTCAAGGTTAATATGGTGAGGGGTCTGTGTATCAGGTGTTGGTGGGGTGTTTATTCCCCTGCACACTATTCCCAGTAAGGGTGGAATGAGAGCAGTGTGCCAGGGCGGCAGCAGGGAGCTATAGAAGCTGGGGATGGTCGGAGCTGGGAGCCAAGGGCGCTAGAGGCAGCTCACAAGGCTTCTGTAGACCCCAAGGCTTTGTGTGTGCTCTTCCCCATCCTGACTGTAGACAGTGCAGTGAGCATCCCTGCACCTCAGCTGCGAGGAAGCAGGTGAATTAAGGTGCTGACACTCACTGGAAGGCAAAGAACATCATGCGCATTTGTAGATTACCTTCAGGGAGGTGCATTTGTTGTAGCTTGCTAACCAGGCTTCCTGCCCATCTCTAAAAGTTGAATTGGTGATTTCTGTGTTCTCAGTGTATGTTCACATTTAACTTACTGATAAAGCCAACATGCCTGCACTGCTTCTGATTGACCGACTAGCTGTCATTTGTCAAATCCCAAGTAGTAGCAACTTCTCATTCCCAGATTTTATTAAAAAATAAAATACCTTCTTAGCTAGAGTCACTCTTTTTTTTTTTTCTTCCTAATTGTTTGAGTTATCTAGTGCTGTTCCAGCACAAAAATACCACAAATGTGTGGCTTTAACAAACAGTTGAGGGGACTAGAAGTCCGAGTTCAAAGTGCCTGCTCCAGAGGCTGGGTGAAAGCCCCTTGACCTTGGGCTTTAGCTTTGCCTCTTGTTCCCAGCCCACTGAAGCTGGAGGCATCTCTTAAGTCAGGTAGTTGCTGGCCGCTGAAAGTGACAAACCCAAAGCTGACAAGTACAGTGGCACAGTCCCAAGATTAGCAAACAACACAATAGGCCACTAGTTCAAGTTCAGCAACAGTCCCAAGATCAGCAGGAAACATGGCAGGCTGCTGCATGAAGGCTTGGCTATATGCAGGGTCCAGACACCAAGAACTTCAGAGACCTTTCTCAAAGCTTCTCCTTATATACTCGAAGCAGACCACATCCCTAAAGCAGCTAGTCAGCTGCTCACAGTAGATTCCACCATGGAGTTGATTACCAGGCTCATCAGGAATAACTGTATCTAACGGCCCAGCCACTCAACCAGGCCCAGCCAAACTGACACACAACTGAGCTACCGCACTAATTTATTCACACATTCATTGGGAGAGTTCTGATTCCCTTTTTTTTAACATATTATCTAATCTTACTTCTTTCAAAATATCCTCTCACAGGATCAACTGTTTTCCTTCTGGAGTAATAAGCTGTGCACATGACAGTTACTTCTGGGAGTAACAAGCCGTGTACAGTCACAGTACTTCCTGAGAGTTACAAGCTGTGTACAATGATGGTTACTTCCTGGGAGTAACAAGCCATGTATAGGGACGGATACTTCCCAGGAGTAACAAGCCATGCACTTCACAGTTACTTCCCGAGAGTAACAAGCCATGTATAGTCAGTTACTTCCTGGGAGTAACAGGCCATGTACAGTCACAGTTACTTCCTGGAAGTAACAGGCCACGTACAGTGACGGTTACTTCCTGGGAGTAACAGGCCATCTCACTTTCTCAGCCTGTTAGAAATCCCTTGAGGAGCTGACCTGCTCTATTGGGCTGTACTTTAGTAACTTGGGGCGGATCATTTCAAACGTGGTCTGTGCCTCATAACAGAGCACTCTGTGTACTGTTGCATCAGTCCTAGAGTGTTTTTTTTTTTTTTAAAGAAAAACAACTTGCATTTTCCAAGAGCCAAAGATTTTGGTTGTAACTGTTTATTACTGCCTTTGGCATAGACAGTATAAAATAAAGTTACATTTCTATAACAGAACAAAACGTGCTTATTGGTTTTGAAGGGGAATAAAGTAACAATTGATTTTGTCTTTATGTTCACCCTTCTTGACAGTAGCCTAAAATTTGGCTTTTGTTTTGTAAATGAGGTGCCTTAGCTGTTCCTAAAGTAACACTTGTGACTGGGGTCCTCGTCAAGACTCTTGGAGTTGGGAGTGTCTGTATGTAGTTTGACAGATCACTGCGTGAGATGACCTACAGTGACGGATGTTTTTTAGTTTTCTTTTCCTGCTCTTTGTCTTGTCCTTCCCTTGCACTGTGGTAATTGTGAGTCACCAGGCCATAGGTTGGCCAAACACAGAGACCTTCTTCCATGCTTGTCTTCTTCCTTCAGGCCCAGCCCCTAAAGAAGGAGCCGGAAGTCATCACTGTGACCCTGAAGAAGCAGAACGGGATGGGACTCAGCATCGTTGCGGCAAAGGTAGGACAGCGTGTGGGGCTGTCATCACCTGTCCTTGCAGCTGACTCAGCAGACAGTGCAAGCTGTGTTATGTGGGAGTACGGTGTTCAGCTTTGCTTGTGTTCCATGAGTGCGAGCACTGGGCTTGGCTTGGAGAGGTTTGGCTGCTGCCGCCCCTCCACTCCAGACACACAGCAGAGCCAGTGAGACCTTGAGGCTTAGCAGCCACTGCTCAGGCAGAAAGGGTTGACAGGAGGCGTCAGGGTGGAAAACGCATCGGCACCTTGGAAAAGTGCTTAGAAAATAGACACGTTACCTCATCCCAGCTGGGTCTGCGAACGCTTTCCCGAGCTTCCATGCATGCAACAATCCCTGGGTAGCTGCTCACACCAGAGATCTCTGGTCCCAGTCTGCAGCTGCTTCCTTCAGGAGGTAGGGAGCCGCGCTCTGGAAAGCGCCTCTCCCTGGGCTGCCAGACTGTGGGGCCACCCCCAGGAGCCTCTGGCGTTCACGGCCCTTCACCCTCCAGTCTGCCAGTGTGTAAGGCTGCACCCACAAGTGCTCCACCCAGAAGCAACTTGTGATCCAACTGTGGTGTTGAACACAAAGCAGGCACCCAAAGGACAGCGAGACACCTTAGAGGGAATACCACTTGAGGGCATGCTCCTGAGGGGCGAGGATGACGAGGTGCCTTTGAGGGAATGGCACCCAAGGGAGCGCTCCTGACGGGCGAGGACTGGGAGGCACCAGCTTGCTTTCTTGGGACCTGTCACCAGGAGAAGCCAGTCACTGGAAAGGCCGTGTGCTTGGTAGAGGGTTGTGGAAAAGGAGGGGACTCCTGCCCTCAGTACCCTAACCTCCTCTAGGCAAAAGGAGGGGCTCCCATACTAAGAAGCATAAGGAAGAAATGACCATTTGCAAAATTGTCTTTGTACATTTTCTTTTGAAAGTGTTTTGTCATAAAATGGAACTGGCTTGAACTCTTGCTGTTCTGGAAGCTGTCACACCTCGTGGTGGAGAGATCCAAGTGAGCATCCGTGTAATGCGGCCGCTGCCACCACTGTGAGCTTCATCGCCAAGTCCACCCAGGACGGGCTTCAGGCTATCCTGGTGCGCGCGACTGAATGCTAGGGACTCCCCGTCCTTTTTTTTTTTTTTTTTTTAACTTAGCATTGGAATAAATGCATGGCTAAACGTTAACACATATTTATTCCAGAAGAGACGGTCGAGTCCCGTTGTGCAGTCCTGGGATGCGATGAAGAAGGGTGTAGTTTTCCACCTGTTGACTTTTAAAGCTCTGGTGCTTTTTCTTGTCTTCATGCCAAGACAGACATTGGAAAACCAGTTATAGATGCAGCTGGGAGAGAGCGGTGCCAGGCCTTCTGACTGGGGTGGGGGGTTGTTGGATTGGAGGCAGTGGGAATCAGGACAGCAGTGGGACTTGGTGCACATCAGCAGTCTGAGCCCCACCATCGAGCGCCACGTGTGGGCCTGCATGAGGGAATTGGAGGCGTTCCTCCCTCTCCCCAGCACCTTAGCCCTGTGTCGCCGTCACAGAATGCTGGCCGCCCTCAGGGACGGAGGAGGCAGCCGGCCTATTCATTTCCTTCGGTTCCTGGCTGTTGCAGCTCGTGTCCCCGGTGTATCAAGGGACAGGAATGTACGGAGGGCCAGTGCGCTTGGTTCCCACATTGCACAAGGTTCCCGCCTTCAACTGGGCGCAGCTCAACACTTTGGTATCGTTGTCTGTTAGTGGGAAACGTGAGTTTTCCTTCTCTGACAGGTTTCTGCTTTCCACAGGTTTTACTGGACACATTAAAGCTAGTAGAAAAAAGACGTTAGGAAGTGTTTTTAAAGGAAAAAGCAGACTTCGCTAGGGGTAAGATGGCTGATTAGCTTCTGCAGGGATTCAGTGGGGCTGAGCATGCATTTGGCTTTCGGAGGTGCTTCCTTCTCCACCACTTAGCTGTGACCTTGCCCCTGCCCCTGCCCTTAGCAGTGGTTGCCTCTCAGGGACTGGGCCAGAGGCACGACCCAGAGCCTGTGTGTGCGTGTGTCCCCAGTGAAGGCGTCAGCCCTGTGGTTGCAGTGGAGATGCGTAATGCTAAATCTCTGAGGGGGTGTGGTGCTACAGCGGTATGTGGGGAGGTCCGGAGGAGGGGCTTGTGCAAGAGGCCTGGGGTGGGAGGAAGCCTCGGCTTTTCATCCAACGCAGGGGGATGCTGGAGAGAGAGGCCGAGACCCGGTCACGGAGAGCAGGGGTGGAGGGGTTCGGGCTTTCTGGGCCGTGTGGCCTGCAGCGTAGCTGCTCGGCGTAGAAGCAGCCACAAGCAAGGCACACACACACGGGGCTACATACCAACTCCAGAGAGGGCCTTGTGGCTGCAGGACTGATGAAGGTGTGGGCTTTGTGACGATTCGGGTAGGCATCCTGGGAGGCGGGCTCATTCACGGGGCCACGTGGTCAGTACAGTTTGACGCGTCGTCTTACTGGCGTCATGGACTTCACGGGCATGGAGTAAAGGGTCGCTGAGTACAACCCAAGGGCATATGTGCGGTGTTCCTAGCTTCCCAGGTGGGAGTCCCAGAGGCTGAAGGGAGGTGGCAGAGGCAGGGACGTGACTGTGCAGGTTTGTCTTGGTGCAGAACACACAGTACCTCCTAGAGGAGGCACCCTCTGAGGGCAGGTGCCCAGCAGGTGTTCACAGGTCTTTGGTGAACGACTCACTCTGGTGCTGGTTAAGGAATTAGGGACAGCCATGAGAGAGAAATAGCAGTGTGAACCCTGGTTCTGGCTTGAGTAGCTGGGCACAGGGAGGTCACTGGCTGAAGAGCATATTCAAGGGACAAGAGCCGACAGACAGGTTGGGAATCAGTGTGATGATGTTACCTGCTTGGTGGTTGCTGGGCTGGGCCAGGAATCCTCTAGCACACACATTCCTACAACCACTCCATGTGGTGTCGTTGCTACACACCTTTGTTGTGTGTGCATCTTCCAGTCAGTTCCCACAGCTGCTCTGTATTGTGTTGTTGCTACGCACCATTGTGTGTGTCTCCAGTCAGTTCCTACAGCTGCTCTGTACTGTGCTGTTGCTACGCACCGTTGTGTGTGTGTGTCTCCAGTCAGTTCCTACAGCTGCTCTGTACTGTGCTGTTGCTACGCACCGTTGTGTGTGTGTGTGTGTCTTACTGTCAGTTCTGACTTAGGCTGTGGCCCCAGATGACAGAGTAGAATTGCCTTACAGTGTTTCCCAGGCTGCTGTCTTGCCAGGAGCAGGTCAGCAGGTCTTTACTCCCACCGAGCTATGGGTGGCTTTGAATTACCCACCTTTTGTTACTGAGCATCACCATGGCCCTTTGACATGGGCCATAAACCAAATAAAGCCCATTGCCGTGGAGTGATTCTGACTCGAAGTGATCCTACAGGACAGATTGGAACTGCCCCGTGGGGTTTCCAAGGCTGTCATCTTTAGGGAAGCAGACGGCCGCATCTTGTCCCGTGGGGTGGCTGATGAATTGGAACTGCTGACTTGGGTGAGCAGCTGAGTGGTGCTGCCCAGTGTTAGACCCTGATGTCCACACAGTCACCCGGAGTCCTGTACCACACCTGCCCTCTGGAAGCCAGAGGTTCCCTGTCTTTAAGAAGGCGATGGCGGGTGTGGTTCATGCACGTTGCTGCTGAAGTGTTGGGTCCGAGCAGCTGTGTAACGTTGTGGTAACCTGCTAGAGCTGAGGGTCCGGACCCCCGGGTGGTGCTGACGGCTCGTGGCAGAAAGGGCTGGGGATCTGTTTCCAGAAGGTCAGCCGTGGGTCACAGTTCTCCCTGACACAGCCCCAGGCGACGGCCCTTGTGCGCAGTCCCACGCTGAACGTGAGCTGGCGTTTTTAGGATGGGGAAGGGCCCGTGGGCGCACCGTCAGGAACACTGGTGTGGCTGTGTGCTTCGCCTCTCAGAGCCCTCGAGGCGCTCAGAGTCCTCTCCAGTTCCTGTGGGTGTGGCTCCCAGAGCCTCTGTCCCTGCATCCCTGGGTCTCATGCGGTGCAGATGCTGTGGGAGGTGAGCGTGGGGGTCGCTTTAACGACTCCGAACGAGTTTGGCTACTCTTTACTCATCTGTGGGACAGCACTGTGCTTCCTGTTTAGTTTGGAGTCCTAACTGTTCAGAGTGCAGTCAGCAGCAAAGTGAATAGGCATTGGAGCCAATTGGTTATGTAAGACTCAGCAGGCTGGGCGAGTCCTGGTGAGTGTTGGCAAACCCTCTGTGTTGTTGAGCCCGTCTGGGTGGGGCTGCTGTTGGGAACCTAGCAGGCAGACGCCTGAGTCTCCCCCATGGAGAAGTGGTGCCCTGAGATGGGAATGTGGCTCTCTGTTGTCGGAAGGCCGGGATCCACGGTGAGTCTCTAAAGGCTGCCGTGTCGCTGTGCTTGTCTCCTTCGCGGAGTGCTTTTCTCTGCCGTAACTTGCCTAAGCCTGTCAGTAATTAACGTGCTCGTGAAGCAACCCTGAGACGTGGTAACACTGCGGAGTCTTAAGGTTTGTAGGGTGTGAGGCTGTGCCATCTTCCGTGCAGGAGAGAAGCTGGTCAGTGATCCCACTGGCTGGCTGAGTGACACGTGGCAGTGCGTCACATAATGACAGCCGTTGGTGTGCCATTGGCAAGGACGGGCACAAGGCTTATGATGTGACCATGTCTGGTGACTAGACTGTAGCCTTTCCCTACGACCTTGCTTTTTTCCTAAAAGTGAAAATAAAAGTGACCATTTTAAAAGCACTTAAGGAGCTCTGGTGGTACTGTGGTTAAAACAGTCAGCTGCTAATCAGAAGGTCAGCAGTTCAAACCCACTAGGTGCTCTGTGAGAGAAAGATGAGGCAGTCAGCTTCCGTGAAGACTGACAGCC